GGTTTAGCGGTGCCGGGGGGGCCAGGGGCTGCCCCCTGCCAGGCCGCCCTGCCCACCTCACCTGTCTCGCAGTGGTAGCCGAAGAAACCCTCTGGGCACACGCAGAGGTAAGAGCCCCCGTAGCTCTCGCACTCCCCTCCGTTTCGGCAAGGGTCTGACTCACAGGCATCCGCTTCTGGAGGCAGGAGGAGGCTGGTGGTGAGTGGGGAGCCCCAGCAGGCCTGCAGCCAGCCACAGGGGCGGGATGGCAATGCCCTGAGGGCAGCAGGGCGGGCACACAGCCCCAGACCCCCTACCTGTCTCGCACTGCATCCCCACAAAGCCCTCAGGACAGTGGCAAGCAAAGGACCCAGGGAGGTCCTGGCAGGTCCCACCATTCTTACAGGGCACTGACTGGCACTCGTCGACATCTGGGGAACAATGGGAGGAGAGGCACCAGCTCAGCAGTGAGGGCTGACAGCAGGACATGGGGGCTCAGAGAGTCAACACTTCCCCTGCAGAGCATGGTCCCTCCCCAGGTTGCTCAGTGCCCCAAGCCCACCAGCCAGGAACAGCCTCCTAAGGCTGTCAGGCACCCACTGCCCCATGTCTGCCCCAGTGCAGAGGCTATGCCAGGAGCTGGGCAGCCGAGCTCCCAGGCTTCACAGCCAGTGTAATTCCCCAGGGGCTGGGGAGCAAGGAAGGGTTTGCTGCAGCTGCCTGCAGCAGCCCCAGAGCCTGCCTGGCCTGGTCTCTTACCTGACTCGCACTGGTGGCCGGTGTAACCTGGCTCACAGAGGCACAGGAACTCGGCAACACGGTCCTTGCAGCGGCCACCGTTCAGGCAGGGCTGGGACCGACACTCATCGATCTCTGCAGGCATTTGGACAGGGGAGACAAGGTGAGAGCTGTGAGCAGGTGGCAGAGGTCTCTGGGGGGCTCTGTTCATGGGCTGGGGAGGACTGGAGTACATGTCCTGGTGTCACCAAGCCACGGTCACGAGCACAGCCCAGCAGGACAGTGCCTCAGGGCTCAGCTGCTCCCTGGCACTCCTCACCATCACATTCAGGGGGGTCACTCCAGATGCCGGGCAAGCGGCAGATGCGAGGGTGGTTGTGTTGACTGAGGGTGTAGCCCAGCTCACACTGGTATTCAGCCAGCGAGCCCACCTTGGTGGAATTGAAAGAGGCCTGGCCATGCTTCACCTCACTGGGGACCCCACAGTCGATCTCTGGGGAGAGACAGGGAGGGTGACCAGGGCCTGAAGAGGCACCTGAGCCCTCAGATGGCCGGTGCAGCCCAAGGCCCTTACCAGACTGGCAGTGCTTCCCTACGTAGCCCACAGGGCACGTGCAAGTGTAGCCCGTGCCAAGGTCCTCGCAGGTAGCGCCGTTCTCACAGGGGCTAAGAAAGCACGGGGAGGGCACTGGAAGAGCAGAGCAGAGAACAAACTGTTGCAGAGCTGGCTGAGCCCAGAAACAAGAGCCATCCCCTTTCCCCCTTTGGCAGTGCTGCTCTGCCCTTCAGCAGGGTGCAAGGCAGAGCGGAAGCACTTCAAATTACAGGGAAAGGGGCTCAAAGCAAGCAGTGAGGCTGCTGCCATGGCTGCTGGCTCTGCCGGCAGCCCCATCCCCTCCCCAGGCAGCCCCTGGTCACACCTACCAATCTCACAATGCCGGCCAGCGTAGCCCTGGGGACAGTCACACTTGTACTTGCCGATGTAGTGGAAGCAGGTGCCCCCGTTCTGGCAGGGCCCTGAGGCGCAGGGGTCCGGCTTGCCTGGGGGCAGAAGGCAGGTGGGAGCTGAGCATCAAGCAGGTCAACTGCCACCTCTCCTGCTGGGGTGGGGCCAGGGGCCGTACCGATCTCACAGTGCTTGCCGGTGAAGCGGTAGGGGCAGGAGCAGTGGTACTCGCCATCTGCCTCCCTGCAGGTGCCCCCGTTGCGACAGGGCCCCGTGCTGCAGAGCCGTGGCTTGGCTGCAGAGAGAGCACGAAGAGTCACCCACTGCTGCCAGCAGCCCAAGAGCCACCACCTCCCACCAGCACCCCACCAATCACGGAATCATTCTGGTTGGGAAAGACCTTGAAGATCCTTGAATCCAACCACAACCTAACTCTACCAACCAAGCGCACCCAAGCCTCAGCCCTGGGCTCAGCAACATCACAAAACACCACCCATGCAGGCACACTCCAGAGCCTTGGAGGACGATGGGCACATGATGCCAGGAGACCAGAAGAGACCAGAAGCTCAGGCATGTAAAAAAACCTCAAACACTGATGGTGTTGTGCAGGAAACACAACTGGACTGGCTGCTGCAACTGTCAGAGGCCATGAAGGGAGCCTTGCAATCCTCCCTCTACCCTGCAGAATGGGATGGGACAACCTACACCCACTTCCAGCTGCAGCTCAGCAAGCAGCTGCTCATCTCCCACCAGGGTGCAAACTCTTCTCCCACTCCCTGCCAGGTCCTGGAGCCAGCAAGGAGCTCTGCGTGGATACCTTTCTCACAGTGTTTGCCCAGGAAGCCTCGAGGACACTGGCAGGTGTAGGAGTCATCGTGAATCTCACAGGACCCCCCATTGAGGCAGGGCTCCGAGTCACACGGGGATGGCATCGCTGTAACGCCAAGCACAGGGTGTCACTGAGGACGGATGGTCAGAGGGCTGCTCCCCAGCTGGTGACAGTATCCCTGCTCACCCCTGTGACCCCCATCCCATGTCCCTCCCCAGGGCTGGTCCTGCAGCCCCGCAGACAAGACTTACTGTGGTTGGTGCCATAGTCGGTGTGGCAGACACAGAGGTAGCTCCCCCCATACTCCATGCAGTACCCGCCGTCCGGGCACTGCGTGTTCATGTTGCACGGCGTGGTGGTGACTTCTGCAAACACATGGCCAGCACCCACCTCCATCAGCCAATGGCAGGAGGACACCCAGACAGCTGCCTGGCCAGAAACAGGGGACTCCTAACTTTGCAAGATCTGAGGAGACGTGAGGGACCCCCTGTACCCCATGCCACAGCCCACGTGAACAGAGGGGCCAGCCTGGATGCCTAGTCAGCTTTGAAGTGGGAGTGCACAATGGATGTGGTTTCCTCCTTGCCCAGGGGAGCCAGGCTGGGCCTTAAGGGGTAGGAGAGGCACAGCTCAATGGTGAATGATGGACATGGAGGCATTGCCCCCTCAGGGGGCATTTCCAGGCTCAAATTCAGTGTGTGTCCCTGTACCATTCTAGGCTTGGGCACGGGCTGAGTGCCTTCTTACTTGCTTGTGGCCTGCCTGGCTCAAGCATCCCAGAGAAGGAGTAAACACAGTGAGCAAGAAGCCTTCACCTACCGAATTCACAGAGGAGACCAAAAAACCCAGGCGGGCACTGGCAGATGGTGACATTCCCCTCCAGGCAGCTGCCCCCGTTGCGACATTCACAGCCCTCTGAGAGCTCTGCAAGTGAGGAGACAGGAGCTTCCCAGGACCCCTCCTGCTTGCAGGCCTGGGACAGCCAAGCAGTCTTGCTGGATGTCACCCATGGGGGAAGCCCAAGTGGGTGTCAGCCATGAGCTCCCCTCAGACGCCCAGGCACAGCCTGCTCCAGTGGGACAGATCCACTGTCCAGCCCAGAAGCCCTGAACAGGCTCCCTGTCAGGAGCTCCAGGGCTCCCCTAGCGATGCCACACTCCACCAAGAGACCCCCTGGTACTCACTGTTTCGACAGTCCTGCCCAGTGTAGCCCTCCTGGCATTCACAGACATAGCCCTGCTCTGTCTCCAGGCAGCTGCCCGCGTTCTGGCATGGGTGGGAGAGGCAGGCACCGGGCACACGAGGCCCACCTGCAGGAAAGGGGGACTGAGCCAGAGCCGTACCAGCTGGGCTGGAACACCCTCTGTCCTGGGGGAGCTGGGGCAGAGCTGGTCCAGACCAGTTTCATGCCAGACACCCCACCACCACCAAGCAGCCCCCATGGAAGGAACTCCCTCCAGGTAGCACCACAACTCCCTGCACATGCTGCCTGCCAGCTTTCAGCAACACCTACAGCTGTCACAGCCTCTTTTTCCACTGTTCACCCCTTCCTGCCCAGCTCCCCCAAAACTGGCTCCTGTGCCGGTCTGGGCAAGGCACATCTCCACTCACCATACTGGCAGTTGTTGCCGTAATAACCTGGGGAGCAGGTGCAGATGTAGCGGCCAGGACGGATGTAGTTGCAAGTCTGCCGGTTCCTGCAGCTCCTGTCCTCACAAGAAGATGAGTCTGAGGTGGGAAGAGCAAGCAAGTGATGAGCACAGCCCCAGGAGAGAGGCCATGATGGCCAGCGGGGCACGCTGGCCAGTCCCTGGTGTGGAACATGCTGGGGCACAGGCAGGAGCAGGCACCTGTCTCACAGCGCTGTCCCACGAAGGGCTCCAGGCAGACACAGGTGTAGTTATCAAGGAGGTCGACGCAGTGCCCACCGTTCAGGCAGGGGCTGGACTCGCACTCGTTCACCTCTGCAAGGGGAGGCCAGGAAGGGTGGTCAGGCCGCGCGCGGGCACTGCCGGGCTGCCAGGTCACCTGCTGCTTCCCGTCCCGCATGGTGTTCAGGAATGGGAAGGTGACAGCCAGGGAAAAAAAAATAAAAATCAGGGCCACTGGCAATGCTGAGCACTCCCCTCCCAGGACTACAGTGAGGGGTGAAGCAGGCTGGGAAGGCAGCTTGCCAAGGGGCAAAGTGTTGCCATCTCCTGCTGGTGCCCGCTCCTGCCACCCACCTGTCTGGCAGTCTGCCCCCGAGTACCCCGGCTGGCAGACACACACTGCTGTCCTGTTTGCCACCTGGCACCTCCCGCCGTTCTGGCACACCCTGCTCTCACATGGTGACTCCTCTGCAGTGAAAAAGAGAGAGGGGAATCAACCCAGGTGCAGGAGCAGCACATGGCATCCTCTGCACACGCGGTGATGCTGGGGATAGGCAAAGAGTGCAGCTCAGAGCCACCAAAGCACCCTCCGGCGGGACACAGTGGCTGCATCCCCAGCTGCAGCTCTTCCCAAAACCCTTCCTCAAGCAGCTCAGCCCTTTCATCGCCCTTGAATGCCAGCGTGCTATGCTGGGTTCTTCTCCCTTCCTCCCTTTCCCAAAAGTCAAATCCCCGCTTGTCTTCACCAACAGGGAGGGTCGCTGGGAGCCAAATGATTTGGTGGCATTTCCACCAGCAGGTGGAAGCCAGTGGCAGAAGAAAGTGGCCACCACAGCCCTGGTCAGGTTAGCTTCAAAAGGCTTAGGACCAGAGCATCACCTGTGGAGGCAGGTCCTCCAAGACTCCTGGTTAAGAACGAACCACCAGCTTTTTTCACTAAGGGAGCAGTGGCAGGCAGAGGTGCTGAGCTGAGCACTCGGTGGAGAGATCTGCCAGAGGCAGAAAGGGCTCACAGACAGACCAAAGGTTCCTTTGCCTGCAGCAAGCTGCAATCCAAGTTGGTCATCAGAAGGTGCTCGAGCCCAGCAGCTGCCACAGAAGCCCCCGTTTCAAAGAGCCCCCTCAGGCTTGGGTCTCTGCTCTTCCAGCAGAGCAATGAGCCATCCCCCCCCACTGCAGTGGCCCCGTGCTCACCCGTCTCACAGTTGGTGCCTCTGAAGCCTGGCGGGCACCTACAGCTGAAGCTGCCAGCACCATTCAGGCAGGTGGCTCCGTTCTGACACGGGTGGGAGAGACACTCATCCACATCTGCAACAGAGCCCCAGGTAGGGACAGGAGCTCAGGGCAGGGGCAGCCAGCACACAGGGGTGATGCACAGGAGGGCTCCCTGCAGCGAAGCACCGGCAGCTCAGGGCCAGCACTCACCGACATGGCACCTCTTCCCAGTGAAGCCCGCCAGGCAGGAGCAGGTGTAGGAGGGGTTCCCCGTGATGCAGTCCTCGATACACCTCCCACCATTCAGGCAGGGCCGCAGCGTCAGGCAGACAGAGGCTGTAGGGACAGGCGGTGGTGCCCCTGTCAGCCCGCGCCCTGGCAGGCCTCGCCTTCCAGCCACACCAGCGCCAAGGTCTGTCCCCCTGCCCACCCAGCCTTCTGGGGTGTTTGGGGAGCACACAGGGACTTCCTGCCTCCCAGGGCCCACTCCTCCTGGACTCCCCAGGACAGGGGGGCAGTGTTATCCCTCCTGTGCAAAGGAGAGAGGCTGTGTGGGTCAGCCTCGCTGGCCAGGGGAGGACATGGACGTGATCTCGTTTATCACCCAGGGCAGAGGGAAAGGGGGATGGAAGAGCCCCTGTACAGCAAACCCACCAGTAACACAAGACACAGGCAGATTACAGGTGGGAAAACATGGCCAGGAGGGAGCAGGGACAAGGAATGGGAGGCAAGCAGCTCTGAAGGGGCACGTGTCAGGACACCCAGGGTGGGGTGCATGGCCCAGATCTGGTGGCCCAGCCCCACAGGGAAAGCTGGCACCCAGCAGTCCTCCACATGGCTCACCCCAGCCTCCTGGCACTCAGTCCCCTGAAGGTGTGTGTCCCCCAAGGGTGCCAGCCCCTCGTGCCCTGCCCTGCCTGCCTGTGGACCAGGCCAGCAGGGTCTCACCTGTGTGTCACCACCACCTCCTCCCCCGCCTCCCTCATTGCTCCCCGCAGGCTCTTTTAATCTCAGAAGTCTTCCTCCCCTCCCCATTTGTTCTCCCAGCCCCTTCCCAGCCCCGGGACACCTGTGAGTGCCATCCCCAGCCACCACAGGCTGCCTCCCCTCCCTCTCCAAGCCCTTCCAGCCGTCTCCTCCACCCCGCAGAGGTGGGGGTTGAGGCAGGGAAAGACTGAGCTGGAGAACAGTGTGGGGTTGGGAGTTAAATAAACCTAACTGCTGTCCTCTTACTTGTATTGCTGCAGCCCCCCACTTGCACCTGGGCATCATCGATTCTGAACACCCAGCGCCCGGGGATACCCACATTTGTTGTCATCTCCACGTCAGCGATGTCATCGGTGCGGGATCCGGGGATATTGAAGTAGCGCTTTCCATCACCAGCGTTAAAACCTGCCTGGAAAGACAAAGGCAGAGAGGGTAAAGAGACATCACTAGTGCATGTGCAAAGGCAGCTGGAGCACAAGGGCTTGTATCTCCTGCCACTCAGCACCACCAGCGGCACTGCTTGGAACAATGTCCCCTTCCCAGTGCCACCAGCCGGCCCTCAGCCCTGTCCATGCACCAGGATGGCATGACAGGGCAATGCAGCCGTCCTGCCCGCTCGGTCCCTCCCCTGGGATTCAAAACCCATTTACTTCCTCTCCACCTGCAGCATCCTGCCTGCTGCATGCTGGTGGGCAGGGAGCCAAGCATGCATCAACTGCCGGTAAATTCACACATCTGAATGGATGCTGGGGTTTTTGCGGGTGTGGGTGTTGGCTTTTTTTCCCTTAAACACAACAACACACACAAGGATGAAAAAAAAATACAAGCGAAAGCTGTGCTGGCTGAGGCAGCTGCTCTTAAAAGGCTGAGGTTAGGAAGGAAAAGGGACTAGGAGGCAAGAGCCAAGGCAAAGACCTGTGGTTTCAGAATAACAAAGCCCCCTGTATGGTCTCAGCTTTGGGAGCCAGGGCACACACGGATATTTAAGAACTTTAAAAAAAAAGAAAAAGAAGAAAAAAAAAGCAGGGGGAGGCTTTCCACCTCCAAAAAACCCAAACCAGGAGCTCACAGGGTGGATGCACTACCAGGGCACCCCAGGGGCCATGTTTGCCACTTACCTGCGCTGCGATGCCGCCGAGCCCGGCAAAGTCCCCCCCACTGCTGGCGTGCATACCCGTGGTCCAGGTGATGGACTCATAGTTGAAGATGGTGAAGGAGAGCTTGCCATCTGTAATGAGGACGATCTGGAAAGTGTTTACCTGCAGCAGGGAAGGGAAGGAAGCAGTGAGCAGGCAGGAGGGGGGAACAAGTGAGCCAGCTGAAACCCCAAATAAAAGAATAGAAAGAGCATTTAGTAAAGGGGTGTTACTTTGAGCCCCAGTCTTCCTCTGCTAGAAAAGGCAGTTGGGTTTAATTATTTTTAACCCTAAGGTGCTGTGATTCCCCACCCAGCACCACAGCAGGCAGAACAACTGACTTCTCCTCCCAGTGGAACGGGAAAAATGGGGAGAAATGTGGTTATCAGGCCTCTGGAAGAAAGACACCAAACCCCATCCACAACGGGCTCCTCAGCACAGCCCCAGACAGGCAAATACGGGCAGGCCAAACACACCCCTGCTGCTGCCTGAGAAAAGGGGACACCAGCAATCTGCAGCCTCCACTGGGCACAAAGACAAGGGTTTGGTTTTGCCAGCCCGGTGCTGCTCTGTCACATCAAGGCATGGTGATAAACCCACTGGGGTCAGCTGAGCCCTCCTGATGGCTCCGTGCCACGCACAGCCCCAGCACCACTGCCATGGAAGGCACCACAGCTCAGGTGGGGTGCTCTTTTCAGAAAATAACCTACCCCTAAACTAACAGCAGCCCTGTCCCAGCTACTCACTGGTGAAAACGAACTGCCCCCGAAGAAGGTCACTCGGTACCAGGTGGCGATGAAGACCCACTGCGCTGAAAACTCTGGGAACTCAGGAAAATACTGGGCAATGTCCCTGCTGGCTCTCTCCAAGATGGGCTGCTCGGTGCTCTCCCGGTAGTACACATCGCCTGCCTGCCGGTTGTCCACGTCAGCCCAGAAAGCAGCCACCACCCGACGGTCCTTGGAGATAGGGAAGGCCACTGGCGTAAACTGGGAGACCTCCTTCAGGAATGAGATGATCCCATTGTTGTTCACCTGCACAGGAGGAGGGACAAGAAATGGGCGGCCACAGTTGATTCCGGGTGCTGGCAGCAATCAGGGGTTGTAGGTGGAGTGTTTCCTCACTGCTGCTGGCAGCAATCCGGGTTTTTAGAGGCACTTTCTCTTTTACCTTTTTTTTTTATCCCCCCTCCCTCTTTCCGCAAATATTGGAGCACTTCCCCTTCCTGCCTTGGAAGCAGAGACATGCCCCAGCACCCGCAGCCCCCCACCTCCCACCCCGGCCACTCGCTGGCTGGAGTGTGGCTACGGGAAGGCAGCAGCAGCCTGAACAAACCCGGCCCTGTTCTCCACCACAGCCAGGCCAGAGGAAGGGGGAACAGCTGAGAAAACTGTGGCAGCCCCGGCGCTCTACACAAACAGCACCCAGAGTGCTCAGCCAACTCCTGCTGGTGCTCCTGGCCAGGACTCGGGGCTGTTTTGCTCTCTTAGGGATGATGAGCAGCTCGCAGGGCTGGGGGCTGGGGTCAGGCATTGCTGCCACCCCCACCCCAGCAGGGAGGTCGTGCCCAAGCCACATGGCCACCAGCACAGGATGGGGGAAACCTTGCTGGGCAGCCTTCCATCCTCCAGCACGCAGAGTGCTCCAAGTCAGCTAACAAGCTTGTGGCCCCCAGGTGACCAAGTGCCACCTACCCATGCAAAGTCCCCAGTGCTGGCTGAGCCTTCAGCATTCTGCTCTTGTTAAAGCAGGGGATGCCAAACACACAGGGAGAGATACTGCAAGCTCTGAGCCCTTCCACAGCACAAGTGGGGCAATTAGGGTCCTGGGATGCCTGGCCCAGGAGTACATGGTGGAGGTGGCCCTCAGACCAGGGAAGGAAGCTGGAGCTAGTGAAAGCTGCTGGCTGGAGTGCTCCCTTCTGGTTTGGGGATGCAGTGGGAGCAAGGAAGAGGAGGAAAACCCCTGCCTGGCCTGCCTCCTGAGCAGCCAACGAAGGGACAGGGATCAAAGGGAAACACTCTTTACTTCAGCCCCCAAATTCCCAGGAGGAGACCCAGCTCCCACCCTGCTGTAGTGGCAGCCCCAGCAGGACAGGCAGCCCCAGCTGCTCTGCTCCCCTGCCCACACTGCTGCCTGCACAGGACAGCAGGACAGGCAGGAGCAGCAACCCCCAGAGCTAAGCTCCCTGGCATGCAATGCTGGCCCTGGCAGCACCAGCCTGGCAAGGCTCTGAGCTGCAGGGTGAAAAAGGGTGGGCATGGTGGAGGCAAGAGGCTCTGGAGTGGAAAGAGCAGCCCCAGCACACAGCAGGCAAGGGCAGGCAGCAGTACTGCACTCGCGTGCTGACAAGGAGCTGGGAGCCAGTGTCCCGCCAGGAGCCACGCTGAAGCCAGCGTGCCTGTGCCCCAGATGCCTGCACCTCCAGGCCAGGAAGGGGAGGCCAGGCTGTGACAGCCATCTGCAGCCCCTGGGGAAGGTCTCCAGCTGCCGCGGAGGGTCCCCAGCCCCCCTATGTGCACAAAGG